GGTGGAGGGCGTTGGGGGTGTCGAGGGACACCGCCAACGCCACCTCCCCACCCGCGATCACCTGCTCCGAGAGGGATCGAACCTGCCTGATGGCGTCGATCGTCAACAACCCCTCCCGGAAACCGTATTGACCGCGGGATAGGTTAGGAGCATCCCAGGACAGGTGCCGGACGATGCGGTCAGCAATGATGCGCTCCAACAGTTTTCCCACATCGTCCAGTAGGCAAATCGGCCTATAGGCGGAGGGACTCTCCGCTGGCTTGCTCTCCTTGCGTAGGAGGACAAGCCTGGCCCTCTTCCACGACTTGGGAAATACTTCTCTGAGGCAGCTAGTGGAGAGCTGCCTCAGGTGCCTTCCAACGCATGGGGCCGAGTCCGCCCCCTCCCGTGAACGCCGGAGGGTCCGGGCGCCCGCGGTCTCCCTCTCAGATGGGCGAATGCCCTTACCATCTCCCTCCCGGTGACGCTCAGTTCATCCGTCCATCTGGACGGTGGGCCTGTCCTCTCGGGGATGTCCTTTTCCCTCGTGGGAAAGAGAGCGGCCACTACATCCTCTAGGAACTGAGCGTCCAGGGTTTCGTTATCGGGGAGGCCCACGGACGAAGCGTCTTCGTCACTATCTTGTAGGACCTTCTCCACGGGTCCCTATCCAGGGAGGAGAGGAGCTCCCGCCATGCGTCGGCTTCCGCTCTTCTTATGGCCGCCCTGAGGGCGCTCCTAGCGCCCCGGCGGCCGCTTCAATCCCTGAGCCTGTGCCCCGCCGCCTGCGGCGAGTATACGTTTGTCTGGTAGCCACGGTGGCCCGTCGTACCTAACTCCTCGGACCACCAGTAGGCTGCCCTTTTCGCCGCGAGACGGCAGCGGGGCATCGACGCATCACACGCGCGCGAGATGGCGTCCCCGAGCCATTCGGCCTCCTCCTCCACCGTGCAGGCCGGGTGGAGGAGAGGAGGCTCACCTCGAGGCCGGGGTTCATCTTTCGCAGGGCCCATCGTTCCGTCTCTTGTCGGCGGCGTCTTCGTGACATCTCCACGGGGGTGAACATCAGCTCCATACGGATCAGACGGTGATCCGTCAATTCTCCCAGGGAGCCGGCGTCCACACGCCAGCCTCGTGTTAGCTGCCGCGGTGGTCGCCGACGTCAGAGCGCCGATGGACCTCCCCCGGGCCCCCACGAAGGTGCTGGCACGGCCCGTATTCAGTAAGATTAGGCCGTGCCTCGCCGCCCATAGCAGGGTGCTGTCGCCCCTGGAGTCGGTGGATGGAGAACCCCACTCCAACGCATGGGCGTTGAAATCCCCACCCATCAGTAT